AGCAACCTGAAAACTACTCGGTCTGCTCCGCAGTTGAAAAGTCGGCTTTTTCTGTTTCTTAAGACCTGGACCACTTAAAAAGCTCAGAAAGCTGTGAAAAGTTGTTCCATGAAATCAGCATGCATGAAAACCCTACTACATACCTTCACATAACATAAAAATAATGACGGGTTTTCAAAACAGGTCAAAGGGGACTTCGTACGAAATTTTCAAGATCAAACGGGACGTCGTTTTGAAATTTCTCTGGTGCCAACTCGTGCCGAGCCCTGCTTGTAGTATAAAATCACTTATGTGGGAACAGCAGGGCATAGCTTTGGCAAAAATGCAGAGTTTCTTTTAAGCACAAAAGAAGCAGCAACGAACTGCGTCACAGACAAAACTGAACAAATCAGCCCAATCATAACGCAGTACCTGGGGTACTATCAAATAAGGAAAAAGAACACCACTAGAATAAGTGTTTCAAGCCGCATCTTTTGATAAACGTCGCTAGTGACAAATTTGGACTCAAAAGCTCATAGCTTCTTCCAGAAAGTTATTCAGCAAATAAGTGGAACAGATTCTGTATCAGCGTTAAAAAGCCTTTCTGTTGATTTATAGTATAATCATCGTTTTCCAATACATGTTGAAACTTCCTCTGAATTGAGTCTCAGAAGATGAATTGATAATTTTGAAACGAAAGTGCGGACCCAAATTAGGGTGTGAGAGTTTGATTTTTTTCAAAATGGATCTATGTGTTAATTCTTAACAACCATTTGTAATCGTAATTAGTGAAGAAACAACTTAGAAGAGTGATTTGATGATGAGGTAACGACTGTTTCAAAGTTTACATTTTTAGCTCGTGAACTGTATAAATCTATTATTAAACAAACCAGACCATGCAGCGTTGCGATCGAACGCAAGATTCTTCTTTATGTGATAGAACAAACAGTTTTAAGTATACAGTTTTAAGAAAGACTAAGAGATTAAGATTTAGACTAAGATTTATTGGCACTCAGTGTTGTCAAAAGTGTCAATCACGACAATGAGATCCACGTAAATACCTCTATAATGCTTATTCTCATTTAACATGACGATTATTGATTAGCTGCGAGAACCTATATAAGGAAGTGATTCTAGCGAGGACAACAATGCTCAAACGATTGATGCTTACATAATTTCTGAGTTTAAAAAATCTCGAAAATTTTCATTCTAAATAACATCACTTGCGCTAATTCAATTACCTTGTTATATTGATAAAAGTGATACCTCCGCGCAACGTAGATTTTGGGACGGGTCAGTTGGTTCATCTGGGGCCGATGACGAAACTCAATTTTTGTTCCGTCTGTCCAAAGCCAATTCGCGTTATTCAAATAATCAGCACGCCTCAAAAAAAACAATTTAAACCCAGAGTGTTGGTGTGCATGAAAGACCAAGGCGAAATGGATTCACCGGCTACAAAGTGATTCTCATCAGCACCGTGGATTGAGGTCAAATGTGCTCTAAAGTTTCTAAATTAGCTCTCGCGTTGTGGAAGATCTCACGGTAAAGAGTCTGTAATATTCACCTATGACTAAACATTCTTAGACCGTCATTTTGATAATCACAAGTTTGTGCTGCGCGTATCTTCTTCATTTTGACTTCACATAAGTAACCGGCTCATTTCAAGCTGCATCTTCATCCAAGAGTCGCTCATAACACAATTTTTATGGAACACCTTTTTGAGCGAGAAAAGCTTTCGTGTGCACACCGTCTGTATCATCGGGATGACGGGTACTAGGTGGGCTAGGGTGTAACGCGTCCGCCTCGCCGCTCTGCTTACCAGCCTAATTACTGCGCGCCCCTGATTGGTCTGCGCTTCCGCGACGCTACGCAGGCGCTCCGAATTGGATGAGTTACGCAAAAATACTCTCTCAAAGGGAAGAAGATCTTGGGTTTTACATGAAATGTAGAACCCAAGATATGTGCTGAAATATGTTGAAAGCGTTTACACATTCATATTTCACTGTTCGACTTCTACAAGTGCTATAAGCCATTCGAATAGCCAAACATGGGCGTTTGCCAGGTTCGGCTTACCTTTTGCATTCCCTTATGAAAAGCACTAAAACGAATATTGACATCTTCCGAGTGTGGGTTCGCACTTAACCATGCGAAAGTCAAAGAAACAAATGCAAATGGTAGGAGTGGTTATGATGACAGTGTTGATAATCTTCTCCATATTTATTTACTTTACTTAACGAGATGAACCGCACACGAAATTTGTAGCCATTTTCGTTATGAACTATCAGCAAGGAACTTTAAGCATTTACTTTAAAGGATAGAAGAGTTCTTGTCGACTTCGCGTTCATGTACAAACTTACAATAAATGAACTGGATTTCGATTCATACGATATCTTGAAGCTTATACAGGGCGTCCCAAAATGTGCCTACTGCTTGATTGTTAATAACTCGCTTGTCATGTCATTGAGTCTTTCGAAAAGCTTTAGGTTCCATTTTGTAAAGCTGGCTTTAACTTAGATTTACAGTTTGGATCAATCTACCAGTTACCAGTCTTTCTTCATTACTGTAGGCTTACGGTATGAAGTCCAAAGAGATTTTTGTATCCTTTAAGCCTATATTTTAGCTTTGAAAATGACCAGAGAAGCTGAAAACTCTTCTAAGTTAAAGGGTCATTAATTTGTAATAGTCGCACTTTACTCTAATGCTTTTATGTTATGCCAGATATAAGGTAATGGCGGATTTTTGATATTCGTCGAAATTTTATTAGGCTATTCAAAAAAGCTCTGCGAACACGCAAAAAGTTATGTAATGAAATCAGCATGCATAAATATCCCTGTTACGCAAATTTTCAGGTTTTTTTTTGAAAGTTGTTTTTTCGAACGGTCTATCTTGCAGTAGCGCCATAAGCTGTGAGTCCCTATCGTAATTTTATAGTAATCAAGGAAGACCGGTGACCTACTGTAAACCTAAGTTGAAGCCAGTTCTACAAAATGGTACCTAATCCTTCCCGAAAAATTTCATAACAAGAGAGTTACTAACAATCAAACAGTAGGTACATTTTCTTTTCATTTTCTTTTTTTTACCCTGTATATCGTACAAACTATACAAGGCATCACAGTTTCAAGATTCGCATCTGAAAACTCAGTCTTGCATCATATAAGCTGCAATGCTTCATCTGCCGCTGCAGATGTTCTGGAATGCTCTAGATTCTCAACTGTTCAGGTACTCATCATCTACAACCTACTGCCCTCATCTAGAGTACTTGAGATCGCATTATCCACTGATATCATAGTAAGAAAGTGAGATGAGTTTATCGTCCTACAGGTTTTCAAAACTTTAGTTCTTTATTTGTCTGTTTTTTTTTTGTTTTTTCGCCTCCATGGCTGTTGTATTCTGTTTTATTTCCATGTGTCGTTGGTGCTTTTTTAAACTCAGTCTACCTCGTAGAAAAAAGGTGTCTAACTTATTATTATAAACACCATTTGACTGAAATAAAGAACAAAGAATAAAGAACAAATCTATTTACCTTAAGTGTCCTGCAAAGCAAAATTCAAGGAAAGCAATTAAAAGGAATTTTCCTTAATCCGTTCGTTGCAAATTCTAAGTAATTTAGTTGATTTTCAAGTACAGTTAACTCTGGCCGTATGATCTATTCTTCGAAACCGAAAGAAATTTGTTGTGGTCTTTCCCTGTCTCAAATTTTTGCTCGAATTCTTAATTTTTTCGAATCAATCTGATTCAACCGAAGTGATGATGTAAGATTTTGTCGCGCCATTTCGTAGTCCTTCATGATCAGAGCTGGTCTGTCTTCACATTATTGCTCAATTTTTTTTTGATTTGTAGGGTTCAAAATCATCAAATTATTCATTTTCGTCACCAGTTTATATTATATCATTCCCTACAAAACAAAAGACTATCTTACTTTTGCGCACATATCTATCTAAATTATATAATAGCCGTCCACAAACATTTCTTTTTGAGTATGTTTAAGTCAATGCAAATCTGAAATGTAAAGAAAAAATCAATTTTTTATCGGGCTTTTGAACAGTTAAAGGCAGCGTCCAGGCAAGTCTGGACCTATGGGGATTTTACGTGGAAACTACTTTTGGGGCCCTAACTAAGCCACTGCCCAACCGGCAGCTCAGGTAGTGCCCTAACGCCTGAGATAGTCCCCTCGAAACTGGGCCCCGCGACCGTGTTTCGCATGGATTCATGGCGCAAGTGGATCCTGGCGCGAAACTGCCATGAATCCATGCGAATACGTTCGCGGGGGCCAGTTTCGAGGGGAATATCTCAGCCATTAGAGCACTACCTAAGCTGCCGCTTGGGCAGTGCCTTAGTTAGGGCCCCAAAAGTACTTTCCACGTAAAAGCCCCATAGGTCCAGATCTGCCTGGACGCTGCCTTTAATGCAGATGAGGTCTAGATAAGTGTACTGCATAAGTTCTGTCCTCTTCGCTATTTTCAAGAATATTATAACTTTTTTTGGAACCAGCTTTTTTTGATAAATTTGATTTCATTGTTCGAACAAGCTTTTGCCTTTCAAGGATCTAAAGGTCTACAAAATAACAATATGCACTGATAACAATATGCCGTGCAAAAATCGTCAATTGTCAGCACCAGCAAGGTCCTTAGAATTACCAAATATGGGCTTTTCAGCGCTCTTTATGTTCGAAATGATCCTGCGTAAAGAGGCCACTTTCTATTTCGACCTTTTTGAGTTCTGAGCATGCTGATAGCCCTGATTGAAGTGCTGAGCATCCAATACAATGGACGTACGTTACAGACGCCATCGCCTTTGCAGCAAAAGTTGCAGGATTTAGGTAGATTAATTTGCTTGCAGTTACAGTCGATGGAAATCATCAAATGCTTTGATTTCTTTACAACGTAGTCAAACGTATGCTCATAGTCGGCATTACAAAGGAAACAGTGTTTGCAAAAAAGTTAAGAATTAAAGACAAGAATTTACTTGTATTCTCTAACACTTTATAACCCTTTACCACACACTATAACTCTCAACAAAATCTATCTATAAGATGCAAATCCTGCGATGAAGAAGGTCTGACCCAGACCGGAGTCTTTCAAATCCTTTCTTCCAGCTTCATCGTAGAAGAAGTTGTCCGGATTCTCCTTATATTCTCGTATCTCCGACATACCCAAGCATTCATGCTTTGAGGAGATGCACTGCCCCGCAAAGGCGTACCCATCGAAGAAGTAGTAACCAGTGGTGTTGTAGATTTCTCCAAAATACAAGCGACGATGGTCTGAAATTCATTTTATATGAATTTCCAAACAGCAAGTTTAGATTTTGTTAATTTTGTGTTTTATACTGTTTTCAACTAAAATTGAGTGCTGCTATCAGTCGAATACGGGTTCGATATTTGTGTTATAGTCGTCCTCAGCTCACTAGTCGGTCGGTGGTCGAATTTGAATTCGAACTGGAGCACGCTGACCGCGGCAGAGCGCGACAGACGCCGCCCCTCAGCCAATCGCTTGCACGAGCTTTTTTCTTACAGTCGGTTTCATCCCGGATTAGGCGAGGCATTCTACATGGAGCAGCGCATGCGCTTTGCTGGAGGCTTCGCGAGCGCATAGCGCTGGCATTTTGCCAAGCAAAGACTAAGGAGATTGAAGAGACGCAGACATGGGTTCTCAGCACGATACTGTAATTGCGAAACGGCGCGAGCTGTTGCGAGGCGGACTCCCGCCAATCCAATTTTTGCCTAAAGCGGGTCGAAACTTACTGTACTTTCTTCGTGTTTCTTTGCTATCGTGTTGCGGCAATGTTCTTAACAGGCTCAGATTTCGTACCGCTAACTTTTTGAAACAAACACTTTTGAGAGAATTTCAGCCTTACCGCAAAAAAGTACATATTCTAACGGAAAACTTGACACATTTCATCAAATCACATTTGTGTATATGTCACTTAACGAAAAAAAAGAGATTTCTCATCTAAAACTCTCCGATCGCATCCTTCCTCCTAGTTTACATGGAAAAAAATGTAAAACAAACGAGCATAACTGCACAAAACACTAATTAGCGGTGCGAAATCTAGAAATATGATAAAGAACATTGCCGCATTACGAAACATAGCAAAGAAACACGAAGAAAATAGGAGAAAAGCTTATGTGCAAGCGGTTCGCTGAGGGACGGTCTGCCGCGCTCTGCCGTGGCCGATCTGCTTCAGTTCGAATTCAAACTTGACTACCGACCGACTAGTGGGGTGAGGACGACTGTCATGACTTATAATAAGCGGCTTAATCTGAAGTTGTGTGGAGTTTGTCCGTTACGAAATCACAGTGAGGAATGATTTACGATACTAAACATCATGTGAGGTTAAGATAGCGAGTATGGTTCATTTTTAACTACGGCTCACTTTGCAATAAACCGAACAATGATTTGAGAGACAAGCTCTCAGAAAGTGAGTTTACCACGGTTCACGATGCCAGTGCGAACCTCTGCGAAGCAGAGGTGAGCACTGGTATCAAAATAATCGCACATTCAGAGCTCAGAAAAAGTGAGCAAAAAATTTTACTTGTAAAACTCGTACCATGAACACTGCTATAGCGAACTCACTTGCTTTGTGGAACACAGGCACGGACGCACATCCCTTTTCTGCTTTTTTGGAGAGGACAAGCCTAAACAGAAACGATTAGGAGAGATTGACAGCACTTCGAAGGAAGGCTATAGGCAAAAAGTAAATTAAAATGTAATCAGCTACTAGCCTTACTGAGGGCGAATAACTAATTACTCTCTCCTCACCAGGGTTTCGTGGCAGTCCACTCGGAAGGACTAGTAGTGAAAAAGACGCGGTATCCGTCACTTGTTTTGGAAGTTCCGATAACAGTCACATCATTTGATTTTGTAAGGTTCTGGCATTGAGGAATTTTAGGAATTTTTTGAAGTGGTTTTATCTTTTGGAAGGCTATGTCGCTTGTGGATATTTCTGTCATACATGACGAATCAGTTTCATCACGTCTGAGTTCGTGTCCTTTTACTGTGCCAATAGTTCCTTGCTTGTATAGCTTACAGAAGCCATTAGTCTGAAGTAAACTTCTCAAAGCCTGTTGCAGCCTGCACATGCTGCAAACCTCATTGTATTCCACGACTTTGCATTCTCTTTCATCATAGCAAGCTCTTAGGCATTGCGACTGTTTTTTCAAATAAAGATAATACATGGTGTTTCCATGATTAGCTTTAGGATCAAATCGAAAGACACCAGTATTTGAAATCTAGAGCCTAGCATTGGAGTAAGCTATACAGTTTCTATGCAAAATTTGATGCTCACCAATTTTACAAAGATCAAAAGAATAAAAACTTTGGTTGTAGACGACACCATGAGCAAAGGTGATGCACTTTCAAGGATGTACGTGCTCGGTGTGAAGACGATGGAAATACTGAAAAGGCTGTTGTTTTTCTGCACCGCCCTTGGTACATTTAACAACCTTTGAAAAGCCGCTTAGCAACCAGCACAAGCAAGTTAATTGTCTTTCAAACAAAAAATGAACCCTCTAACTTTGGCTGCATAGCAACTGTCCAAATTCACAATGGAAAAATCTTCAGTGTCCCTAAAAACTTCATAAGCTTTGTGCAATTGGAAAAGGTCTGGACTTTGGAGAATGTTCAAGAACTTGCTCATCATGCTGGTGTTTATATAATATTCTAACGCAGGAAATGAGATCTTCTTGATGAGGATGAAAAAACGGATAGTTACAGGTACTTTTGGCAAATTATCAAATCTTATGCCGCATGTGTCGCGAAGCTTTGTATAAAATTAGATATGACAAGATTCGCTAGTTTGAAAAAAGGGCGCGGAGCTAAAGGGCTTGGTAGAGTTAGGACGGAATTTTTCAAAACAAAGTTTATCTTTTCGCACTTTATTATAAAAAACCCCTGACATTTTTTAAGCCGGGTATAATTCAAGCTGCAAAATCGTCGCAACTGCTGACAGCAGCGAAAACGCGGCCACTAATTCGTTGATTGTTCGCTTATGGGCACACTTCTGCAGCGATTCGTGCGCTCTCCCACTTGCACATGATGTTCATCCTCAAGCCTTTTATAATTATTTTACAACTAGCTTAATATTTGCATTTACCTTACATCACAATTATTCCTTTCATAACTGTCAAAAATATTTATGCTGCACATTTAGTTTCAAATTTTCTAGTCGCTAAAATAACCACTTAAGTTTGTTGAACATGTAATAAAATTATTCAACGTGCAGAATTCAGATTGCACTTGACACCAAACTTGCGTCTTGAACCCCATTTTTCAAATTTGACCAAGCATTTTTCTCAGTTGTGGTATCTTCAAAAGCTTCGCATAGAAGGAGTATTTGGGTGGAAAGGCTGCTAAGTTTTACTTGCAAACAGTTTGCAGCACGTCTATCCAATGATCGAGACAGCCAGTCCAGTTGCTATAAGGACGCAGGCATTACAACGTTTTTTCCTTTTCAAATGAATGATACGGATATGTCACTATTGAGTTAGTAACGCACCTGCAATCTTCAACCATCTTCAGGAGCTACAATGGATGGTGAGAAGAATCCAAATCTTTTGTTCGTGCTTCCTTGTATGTGATTACTTTCATGCTGTTGAGATTTTTTTATTATTAGGTTGTTACATAAGGCTTGCTACATTTCTAATTTCTATCACAGCAGTCCTACACTTTTAAATTTACAAGGCTCCAGGGTATTATTGACAGAGCAAAACAAATTATGCCAATTGCGCGACAGCCTAAATGTAAGATTTCTGACTGCATCTAAAGTAAGAAGAGTTCGTATTTCTGGTCAGAGCAGATTTCTCACTTGCGCAAGCATAAACTCTCAGCATCCGAAAATGATCTGCAGCGTTGCTGTGTTTTGTGTAGGTTAAAGACTGAGAAAATTTTTTTCAAGGCAAACCCGGTTTCGCACGACCCTGTCAATAACATATTCGTAACCAAATGCTCACGTAATCCCTATGCCAACCCTCAGCCCAGTAGCTCAAACCTTGCGAAAATTTGATAAAATCGATGCCGACCTTGAAGTGCATGTGTGCCAAATTTGGTCCGGATCGGTTCAGAAATAAAAATTTCTCATTTGGGACATACGTACACAGGGCGCACAAACATACACGAAGACAGACAAAAAGACATTCAGCTTTACATAAAAGATCGGCAAGATCATGAAAATTTTCGTTTTCTTGATCTCTAATTAGAAAGTACAGCAACGGTATATAAGATTGTCCAATGTGGAGCGTTTCTTTTCGTACGAGTGAGAGACCTATAGCCTGTACCAACCAGCATCGGTTATACGACTTCGCGCGTGCGGCAGCTTGCGACAGTGTGGTGTGACGCGCGCGACTGTTGCGCGTTAAGACACGTCGCGAGCGAGTGTGCGTCCTCGCAGGGCATGCCAGCGGGGGACCGATATTGGTTGATACAGCCTATATAATATCTCCTCCATGACGAAGGCGGTCGCCCGTATAAGTTGAGAGCATGCAAGGCTGACGCGCACGTGGCGCACGGGCAATTGTCAACCACGAGTCGCGCGCATGCTCACGTGGATGACCGCTGACCGAGCGTGCGCGCGCCCCGTAGTTGACAATTGTCCGCGCGTCGCGGCCTTGCATGCTTTCAACCTATTTGGGCAACCGCCTTCGTCTTGGAGCAGATATTAGTTTTGGACGAAGATATTGTGCATCTCAGAATTGTTTCCATAGGTACCATCGTAGCTGCCTTCAAATCCTTTCACAATGTCATGTTCGAATAAGCTTAAATTTGCTGGAGTTAACTTAAAACGATTGAAAAGCATTGATGGTACCTATGAGAACAATTCTGGGGGATGCACCATATAAGCCAGAACTTTACACATTTGGGATCAAACTTGTGGTGCATCAAAAGTTGCGCAATCTACATGTCGTTTTCTGAAGCAGAAGTATAGACGTATTACGGTCTGATAAAACAATCTAAAATTCATTCTTGGGAGTTACTCAGTTTGTATGGGTCCCATTCAACGTCAATTGAATCGGTTTGTGTAATGCATTAAGAATGCCCATAGAGCACTAAGTGAGTGTCATATATGGTTCGAGAAAGCTCCGTTAAATGAATCCGCAGCGTTGTTTTTGACACATTTTCGATAACTCATTCAGTACTCTCCAAAAACACAAAAGAGACGTCGACGGATTGCTTCGCAGATGAAGCTGCTCAAAGCAACTTAACCATGACAGCACCTGTGGCCGTACCATCAATGAACACAGTATTCCGCCTACCCAGTGGGTAGGCTTGATCCACGAGATCGGTATTCACAAAGCTGGTCAATTCGCGAACTCAGCAGTGCTTTTTGTGAATATTGTCAACCTCGTGGCACTGTTTTCGCTTACACACGGGGTAGCAGAACCTACTGGGTTCGTTGATAAATGGCTAGCCACTGGATTACTATTAGAAAAGGGAGGGGCACACCCGCTTGAACTGAGTGAGTGTTTTCGAACCCCTGCCCATTCGATTTATGTCACTAATGGCGACTTTGGACTTTGGAAGCGCATAACTTCTTTTAAAGTTGGTTTAGTAATTAAGTAAAGCAGATTTGGTACCAGCTTTGAGGAGTGTTTGTTTTCAAGTGCAAATTTATTCTTCCCTTGTAGATCAACTATGATGTTGAGAACAAAGTGCGCACTCAAGTTATGGTAAAAGTTGCGTGGATGAAAGGATCATAATTTGCTTAGATAATTTATCTACGACAATTTGTGACTGTATTTGGTCAAAAATAACACGGAGAAGGAGCAGTGACCATAATTTCATAGCTTGAGTTCTAGTTTGTCTTGTGTATAAATCCGTAATAAACAAATCATAAAGGTTTTGCACTCGAAAAAAGTTCATTTTTTTTATCGGATAACCGTAGCAATTATGCAGTTATTGGCCTAATTTTGAAGCTTACCTGAAGGCGCATAGCACCTACAGTGCTGGCTATAATAAAGACACTTTGAAAATAGTCGTAATTTTCGTTTGTTTTGAGATCATGCTGTAATTTATAATGTTGTTCTAACGCGAGAGGGGAAGGCAAGGCAAATCGCAACGCAGTGTTCTACCCGCGTCCGCGGACTTCATTCGGTTTTTCATCTCTTTTTGCGCTTGTGAGCTTCTCAATTCTCAAAACTTCTCAAGCTTCTGATTTTTCTTGCGCTAAGTTAGCTTGAGGTAGATTGCGCATAGCTTGATTGAGTATTTTGTTCATTATATGCTTTATTAACATAGTTAGGATGAAATTTTACTTCGCTCGTATTTGTGTATTATTTGTTGCACCAAAAAACAAGGGTTTAATTACCCAAGTTCGAGTAGGTAAATGGTTGGTGCTCTAATGGTTGTGGTGGTGTAACCGCGTGGCAATCGAGCAGTACTTTGTCCAATTTAATTTTTAAGTTTTAAATTTCAAATTTTAATTCAATTTTTTCAATCTTTGTCTGAAAATTTGCCCCATTGTGCGCATGTTAGCCTACCTTGACCCCCTGAATACGGCTTCCAATCTTGTTGAGTTTGAACAAAAAAAAAACAGAAAAATTCGAAAAAATTCTTTATGAAATCTGGACATAATTACAAAGAAACCTGGTTTTTCAATCACTATCTCATTCCACGACTCTCAAATTTCTTTGCACGGATACTCCCTAAATATGAAACATTTGCAACACCTACGGCTTGTCATCCTATTCAGATAGAAACGATCACTGCATTTTGCTTTCGAAAGAATCAAAAGTGAATGTACTTCAATAAACAATTGCTTTGAGAAGCTTTCAGGCTATTGTTAGTTTCAGATAATGGTCATGGAATCCACTAAGCCTTTTCCATGGTTGAACTAAGGAGCGCTTTCGTAAACTCTGCTTAATCGCTGATATTGACGGACGGATTCCAATCTCAGCATAGGGTTGTCACATTTTTACAACAAAAAAGTCAGTTTTCAAGCAACGGAAAGTACTGCAATGTAGCCACTACATCGGTTGGACAACAGTAAACTTGTGTGCATAGGAAGCAATTTCGAAATTGGCATTATGGTCTAGCCGCAGTTGTCATCCACTGAATGTTGAGTGGAGCACCCTGAATAATCATAGCCAACTCAGATCAGAAAATAGAGCAGCAGACCGCTCAGAACTTCGAAATCTTAGCTAATCTCATTCTTTGGGGAATTTGATTTGAAACAGAGAGGAAAGTAGTGAGATTTGTAATTACAGGGTGCGGAAAAAGTACTGTCCCTAAAAATAAAGTTTGAAAAATTGGCGTAATTCACAGGTTCTTCTGGTAAATTTGACATAATTCCCAAGATAAGAATATATTCTATCATTTTACAAAAACTGGATTCAAAATTCTGCAATTTTACCCGGCGGTGGATCCCTTTTCGCAGCGCATCTCATATCAAATCTTGCAACTCCCCTTTACAAATTTGAAGAAGTGTGAGGATTTTTGAGAAATTTTTTGCTTGTCACGCAAACTCAGAAAATCTTCTACTGCCTAAGGAATGTGGTAGTGGATCCCGAAATTTTCTGAAAGTATACTGTCAGCACTTGCACTAGCAGAAAAGCTGTGAATTTTTCTAATGAGCAAGTGGCTGCGGCGCAACAGAGTGCGATCAGAAAACGTGGCACAGAGACCTAGGTATAATCGCTTATCGCTCCAAAATCGTGATGTAGACAAAGTCCGATGTTTTTTTCATTATTTCTGTTACTCTTTGTTGGAATCTGGGAATCATAGTTTGAGTCCAATTCATTAAGCAAGTGCAGTCCTGACTCGCCACTTTTTCAGAATTTTTGCGATTTGCGTGTGTTATAATCTTCCTTATTTGGCCAAAACAGGAATCACCAATCTATAATTCATCTACAGTGGGTACATAATAATGGAGAACAGGTCATGCGCTACATACCAGCTCAATTTGAACCTCATATTAATGCTGGTGGTAGAGTTATGGTCCAGAATGGCACTTGTATGCTATCGGCGCATCGTCACTGTTCTTGTGCACTGTTATCACTCATTCAAACGGACGAAAGGAAACAGTTTCAATCAAACCTATCAATATCTAATCTCAAGGATCTCGCCTACATATGGAATTCAAAAAATTGCAGATTTGCTTAATGTTTGAGGTATTTCAGGGGCCAAGACGGAGGGACAGTACTTTTTCCGCACCCTATATCTCGAATCCACTGCTCACAAAGAATTTCATGGAAAGTACTTTGCTCTAAATCGCAACCGCGATTAGGAAAAATCTGAAATTTGTTGCGAAAGCTGCATCACCATGTAGGCAATGTAATAAATCAAGCACAGCATTTTATGAGCACTGCAAACTGAGTTTTGTGGGGTTAAAGTGTGAAAAGCTTAAGCTAAGGTTGGGGTCTGTTCGTCAATATTAGCGATTAAGCAAAGTTTGCGGAAGCCCTCTTGAACTCAATCACTGAATAGGCTTAATGGATCCCATGACTACCATCTGAAGTTAACAACAACCTGAAAGCTTCTCAAACCAGCTGTTTGTTGAAGCACAATCACTTTTGATGCTTTTGAAAGCAAAAACAATGCAGTGATCATTTCTTTTTGAAAAGGATGACAGGTCGCAGAATTGCAGAGTTTCATATTTTAGTATGTAGCTGTACAAACAAGTATTAGAGTGGGAGGTAATAGTGTTGAAAATAAACCAGGTGTCTTTATAATATTGTCCAGATTTTAAAAAGGGTTCTTTTGAATTTTTCTGTTTTTCTCCGTTTCAACTCAAAAATCTGGAAGCTATTCTAGGGGGTCGTGTTAGGCTAACATGCGCACTATGGAGCATAGTTTCAGACAGATTCGATGACAAAAATGCAAATTACGACAATTTCTAGATGTAGTCATAATTACGGCCAGCATTGTATCAACATGCTGCCATTAAAGGAATGTAATAAAGCAAACTTTGCAAAGCAGAAGATTCATTGACATTAAGTACTGTCAAAACTGTCATACAACAATCAGATCCATGTAAATACCACTCTAGTGCAAGGCCGGTTTCTTGCACACATATGATCTTATTTCAGAAGAGCAAGGCCAATCATTCCATTTATGCTGCCGTAAAGAGGTTCCTGGTTCTATTATACGATCACTGTGTAGCTGCAAAAACCTATGTAAGGAAATGTAAGGAAGGGTCTTGAGAAAGATAAAAAAGCGAAGACAGCAATGCTTAAACGACTGCTCTGCTTGCATATTTTGGGTTCTTATCATTCCAAAAAACTTCACTTGGTTAACTTTGCATTTACTTGTTTTATTGATAAAAGTGATACCTCCACACAGCGTTCATTTCCTGCATAATTATTCGGTTCATCCGGAGCCCACGCTAGGAATTCAACATTTGTCCCGTCTGTCCAAAGCCAATCTCCGCTATTTAGATAATCGGCCCGTCTCAGACCTATCCAAGTTGATCCACGTACATGCTCCTCATAGTTTCCATAATGCCACTCAAACCCCGTTTCTGTCAAGTCTGAAGCACAAATCAGATCGTCTTAGTGTTTATGATTTGAAACAAAATTAGTTAACCGGCTACAAAATGATTCTCATCTTCGCTGTGAATTGAGGTCAGATGTGCTCCAACATCCCTGCAACGGCTCTCGGCCCTGTAGAAGGCTCCCCAATGGAAAACCTATGGAGAAAATATATTTACCATTGATGAGCATTCTTGTTTCGTTGCTTGATGATCATTTAAAAAAGTGTGCTTATACTATGCGTATCTTTTCCAGTTTGATCTCATATCGATTAGGCTCCGATATACTATCTTTAGCCGCATTTATGTTGCGTGCGCACATAACGCCCAATTTTTCTTTAAACTTCTCTTTGGAGCAAAAAAATTTAGTTCAGTTCTGGTCGTTATCAATTGCTTGGACGAAAAATCAAATTGTCACATCGCTTTATGAAAATTTATGATGTTTTTGTTTGTTTGTTTGTGTCGCTTAAGCCAGAAGGAAGCTATAAGCATCTCGTTTTCTCCTAACTCACTTGATGCTACACATGAGTGTCTCTCGAAATGCTAACACTATCAGTGAGTACTCAGTATTCAGCTAGCTATTTCTTAGTACATCGAGAGATAGTCACTATGTGAATAATAGTAGTAACAACTTGGCAGTTTACTTCAAAAACAAAAAAAATGCGCTCTACATTGAAAATTCAATCTGCATCTAGAGAGAATCGCTAAACAGTTTTTAGAGATTGGTTGATATTTTGTAGAATTACAAAGTTTTGATTAAGGATTTTCAATATTATGAAAAACTTTTGGTAAAAAAGGTCTCATACCTCGCATGTCAAAATTATTGCTTTTACAAAAGTACCACGCACCTTGTAGCACGCATCTGTCTCGCCAAAATATGCCCATCCATTTTCGCAATGGCCAGGACACGCTGAAAAGCAATTTCAATAGGGTATAAGCAAGATTTTGTAGTGAAAACTGCTAAGCAGATTGCCAGTGGATAATGCCCCATCTAGAAAATCAAATTCAGTTAATTGTTGTGTATAGGTCTGTCAGCTAACAAGGGAAGCGTTTTTAGTTGAAGTGGCCTTTTCAATCGACTCCTAAACCATTTTTAGAACATTGAACGATGATTCTAAATCCATTTTCATTATCTGCACACCCCTGTGAAAGCAAACTTATGAGCGTTTTTGAGCGAAAAATTGAAAGTAACTGAGAATCAGTTATAACTATCAGAGCACTTCATTCAGTATAACTTCTATTTAATACCCTCACACTCAACACTGCTCTATATGATAGCAAAAAGATTGTAACCATAGTTTCTACATTAACTGCGCATATTTTTCGCTTCGAAAAACACTCGTAACTCGGCGTCTAAAACGTTTCACAAATAATCAAAACATATTTAAAATCAACGTTCAATGCTCTTCAAAGTGGTGTAGAACTCAACTGGAAAGACCGCTTCGACTAAACACGCTTTCCTTATAAGTTTTGCAACTTTTCTTTCAATCTTTATCTCTTTCCAACACGACACTCATATTTGCCGTCATGTACGCTATGATATAATTTACAGGTACACATAGACCTTTCTGCTAAACTCAGATGTCGCAGCAAGGTTTACGGTAGGTGCATGGTATTGGGTTGTTTCAAAAGTTCTACCCGTTTTCAAACTCTGACTTTGATTCACCGTAACTCTTCTCAGAAATAATCTTTGCAATAGCTATAAACTGTGTTACAATCTGTAAATCTTTGGCTATTCTGCACACTCTTTAAGGTTATTGCAGTAACAGTGAAGAAGATTTTATAGGCGAAAATCGAGAAACATCTCCTTGTAGAAAGCTTCACTTTACAAAAGCATAACTTGATTTGGAATATAGTTGAGTTGCACGAGCACTGCTCACAGTGTAGCCCATAGTCGATTGAGCAGTACCGCTAATTTTAGATTTCATCAAACTCTTTCAAAGAAATTTTGTGCTGAAAAATCCGAAAAGGCCCACTTATTTTGCTCTTTCGAGGCGGTCAAAAATGCAATTTTTTTGACATTTTTGATCTTGTTCGCCCTTGAAAAACAAGAAACTTTCCCGTTATCATAGTAGCAGTTGTTCTAGCTCTAATCTTACTATATAGAGTAGAAATTTCGCGATTGCAATATGTTTATGATTTTTATGCGACCTAAAGGGACCATAAAGACAGGTTATGTTTGAGCTAAAAATTTGTAGGTTCAGAATTTTTTTAAAATCATATCTCGATAAGCGTTTCGTAGCACAAATCTCCAGCAAACATTATGTGTGTTTCAAAAGAATTTTTTTCTTTTGGCTGTAGCCTTCACGGCGATGGAGCAAAGACGAAAATTTTCACATTTGTTTCTCTGTCGTTTCAAAGTACGCAACCACTCAACGAACAAAGATCTTTGAAAACGAAAGTATGCCTGAAAAACTAGAAGAAAAGAGCTCTTGAATGATATAAATGCTGTTTAAAAAAACGGTTCCTTCCTCCAAAATTGGCAGTTCAAAATAAGGTATCAAAAACGGGTAGAACTTTTGCAACAACCCTATACAATACCATCGCTGCCGCCTTTAAAATTTCCGAAATAAACGCGATGTCGCGTTCAAAGCGCCGCAACCTCGTAACTCCCTTCAAAATCATTTTTGAGCAGAGTGGAACACAGATTCGGAATCAACGTCCTACAATCTATCTAAATTCATAATTTTTTTCTCGGAAACTCAAATTTTTCACTATACTGGTGACGTCACGGTAAACGGCCATGGTCCTAGGCTTTTTAGCTCTTAAGTTGCTGTATGGCCGGTAATCAATGAGACTGGCTGGTATAAATCAATAAATACATTGAAAGGATTCTGCTCCTTGTTTTTCATGGAGTTCTGATGATCTAGAACTTTTTTATTTCAAGTCAAAAAAAATTTATTTCAGGGCGCGAAGTTCCAACTTCGAAGCCTCGCAAATTCATGAATTTCTATTCTTAGGCGAATTGTTCTATGCTAGCAAATATAATAGTACAGAAAATTCCCTATAAGAATTGTTATAATTCACCTATTTGTTCGGGTTCTTACGCGAGATATCTGAGCCCGTAAGAGGGTGTTCGTGCTCTGATTGCCATGTGGGACCATTTTTAAAAGACCGTATCTTAAGGATGAAGAGTCTTATGGATAACTAGACCATCGATCGATTTCCTAGAACATCACTCATCAACAGTGATTGAGTTAATGACAGATGTACAGAATTTCAAATCCGCCAAAACTTAACAAAAAGAAATTTTCAAACTTGTGAAAACTTGACGATCATTTTTATTTTTTTCCTATTTTTCCCGTTTCAACCATCGATTGACCTATAAAGGATTTGCTTTTTTGATCGGGTTGATTTCTGTCAATTTCAGTGGTTAATACCTCCTTTCAAATAGAAGAATTTGCTGCCACGATTGCTTCTCGCAGCTAACTGATGTGGCCCCACTAAGGTCACGGTGCAAGAGGGTCCTTTCTTGACAAATTTGGCCAATGAGCCACTCGTTTTAGAAATTTAAAAGAAATTGAAAAAAATAGAAACGCAAAATATGATAAAGGCGATTTCAGAAGAAAGGGAAACAAGTGCAGAAAAAGATGCTTGAAAGAAATACAAATCAGTAATCAAAGAAGTGTGAAGATTTTGAAAGACTGTTTTTTGAAACAAAAAACGTTGAATTAAACGTGACTAATCACCATTAGGTAGCTAGGTCGTTGAGGTTAGTCAAAATCAGAAAATATTAGGTTGAACCGAAAGTTCTGTTGCACGATTTTCAAATAATCATAAATTCTTTCCGTCACGACGATTTTGCGCAACTCAAATTTTCTTTGAAAGCGTAGAGCATGTAGTTTCCAAAAGTCCCCTGGAAAATTTCCAACATGCCTAGGTTGCAGAGATAAAAATGGAAGAACGAGATCATCCGAAATTCGGAATTTTTAAGCAAGAATTCTAGAAATTCAGAAACTGTGCGATAAAATCCAGAAAAGCCATTGTCCTAATTTTTCTTTTATTTGATTACTAACTGAGTCAAGTTTGTGCTGATCGAGCCCATTTTTCAAAAGTTATGATATTTCGAAAGAAAGTGCCGAAAAATCATTTTCCTAAGAATTCTTAAGAAATCGATTTTTCGGCATTTTCTTTCAAAAAATCATAAATTTTGAAAGAAGGGCTCGATCAGCACAAACTTGACTCAGTTAGTAATCAAATAAAAGAAAAATTAGGACAATGGTTTTTCTGGATTTTATCGCACAGTTTCTGAATTTCTAGAATTCTTGCTTAAAAATTCCGAATTTCGGATGATCTCGTTCTTCCATTTTTATCTCTGCAACCTAGGCATGTTGGAAATTTTCCAGGAGACTTTTGGAAACTACATGCTCTACGCTTTCAGAGAAAATTTGAGTTGCGCAAAATCGTCGTGACGGAAAGAATTTATGATTATTTGAAAATCGTGCAATAGAACTTTCGGTTCAAGCTAGTACTATTTTCTTTTTGGTGTCTTCTATTTTCTCATTTTCCGAGCAAATTGCTACCGATAAATCATTGATGAAAATTAGAAGATTCGATGGTATGCCGTATCCAGGTCGTTGAACCAGCTGAGGACTGAATTGATGTGGCCCTACTGAGGTCATGGTGCGAGAGTGTCCTGTTATTGATAAATTCGGCAGAGGTGTGAACCCTGTCTTATGGATAACTGGACCATCGATCGACTTCACAGAACAACTCATTATTGTTAGTCGTTAAGACAAAATAATTGGCTTTCTTGATTTGATTTTTCCTGTCCAATCAGCCTGTGGCTCATTTCATTTTGCTTTGGCTAAGAGAGTGAATGAATTATTGACTGCAAGAAATAAGATTTTCAGACTATCAATCGAGATCATGGCACTGTAGCATGAATATCAGATTTTGTTTGCATAATCTAACTAAAAAATTATATGGACGAGGAAATACTATTTTCTAATTTTGATCAACCTCAATGACGTAGCTACCTGAATTGGTCAAATTCAGTCCTCAGCCGCTTCAACGACCTGGATACGGCACACCATCGAATCTTCTAATTTTTATCAATGATTTATCGGTAGCAATTTGCTCGGAAAATGAGAAAATAGAAGACACCAAAAATAGTCTTTTCTGAATTTGATCATCCTCAATGACCTAGTTGGACGAGAAAATAGTATTTTCTGATATCGATCAGCCCCAATGACCCAAATGGAATAGAAAATAGTATTTTCTGATTTTGATTAACCTCAACGACGTAGCTACCTAATGGTGATTAGTCACGTTCAATTCAACAGTTTTTTGTTTCAACGTTACTGTATAAAGTTATTCAATTGTTTAGTACTGTATAAAGTTATTCAATTGTTTAGCATGTTCTAAAAAAATCACAAAGGGTAGAAATGATTTTTTCAGTTTTTCCGCTTTTTCCGTTTCGCGATGTTCTGAAATAAGTCAAAGGGAGTACCTACCTTCGTGACCCCAAGATGACACAAAACGTAAGATCTGAGGAAACCGCAATTTGAAAAAAGTGAAAATGTTTATTTTTCGATTTCCATTATCAAGAATTTCACTTGCAGGCAGAGTTCTATAGTCTTTCAAAATCTTCACACTTCTTTGATTACTGATTTGTATTTCTTTCAAGCATCTTTTTCTGCACTTGTTTCCCTTTCTTCTGAAATCGCCTTTATCATATTTTGCGTCTCTATTTTTTTCAATTTCTTTTAAATTTCTAAAACGAGTGGCTCATTGGCCAAATTTGTCAAGAAAGGACCCTCTTGCACCGTGACCTTAGTGGGGCCACATCAATTAGCTGCGAGAAGCAACCGTGGCAGGAAATTCTTCTATTTGAAAGGAGGTATTAACCACCGGAAAACTGCCGGCCTTCAATAAAAAAATTATAGATAGTCACTTTCAGAAATTAAAAAGAATTTTAAAAGAGTAGAAACGCAAAAAATTGATAAAGGTGACAAAAAAAACAGAAAAGCAGAAATTCCACATCGTGAATTCTTCCTTGGTTTTTCCCCACTTGAATTCATTTTTATACAGTTAGACAGTGGCCTGTTGAAAAGGGAAAAAATTTCCACTGGATCTGCTTTACCTCTGCCATTAACTCAATCACTAATAATGAGTTTCTGTGAAGTCGTTCGATGATCTAATCATTCATAAGACAGGGTTCGCACCTTTGCTACTGCGAGGTGCGAACATGCCTGTGCCACAGCTGGGTGCATGTGCACCCGAGCTCCCTTAGTGGATCAGAATGACGCATATAATAAATTAGCTCCTTTTCCTGTGCCGATAGGGGGAGCAAATTATATAATTTTTGAGAGCTTATCGCATGCAGAGTCCGAATATCAAAAAATTGTGATGGTTGGTGAGATCCCAGAAAATGGTGAAAAATCAAGTCATTATGTAATTCTGCATTTTTTCGTTCATTTTTGTGCAGTTAATTTCTCCAACGAGCATTCACGCACATGCAGGTCTCAATCATGGAGGCCTATTTTATCACTACGCAAAAACTCTAGCACGTGACCATCTCCATCCTTAAAGGCACCGTCCACCCAAATTCTCGACTTCCATGTGTTTGTCGCTTCCGGGCCTTCTGAAGGCCCTGATTTCGAATATGAAGTCGAGAATCCCAAAAACCCCTATTTTGGAGAAAGCGGGACGGGTGGAAGTGCAGTTTGCGGGGCTGCGGCGCGGTTATCGCCCGGCGTATATCAGCGCCGCAGCCCCCAAAGTTGCAAAATGGGCGGAGTGACCACCTCTGGATCACGTATCACGTAACTTCCAGAGCGGATTTCTCGCTCCGGAAACAATCTTTTGCGGGGAAACTTGGGGGTTGGCCTAGTGTGGGGGCCCACATTAGCATGCCATTGAATCTCGTGAACCCTCACTTTGGGTGGACGGTGCCTTTAAGATACGGTCTTTTAAAATGTTCCCACATGGCAATCAGAGCACGAACACCCTCTTTCGGGCTCAGATATCTCGCGTAAGAACCCGAACAAATAGGTGAATTATAACAATTCTTCTAGGGAATTTTCTGTACTATTTGCTAGCATAGAACAATTCGCCCAAGAATAGAAATTCATGAATTTGCGAGGCTTCGAAGTTGGAACTTCGCGCCCTGAAATAAATTTTTTTTTGACTTGAAATAAAAAAGTTCTAGAACATCAGAACTTCATGAAAAACAAGGAGCAGAATCCTTTCAATGTATTTATTGATTTATACCGGCCAATCTCATTGATTACCGGCCATACAGCAACTTAAGAGCTAAAAAGCCTAGGACCGTGGCCGTTTACCGTGACGTCACCAGTATAGTGAAAAATTTGAGTTTCCGAGAAAAAAATTATGAATTTAGATAGATTGTAGGACGCTGATTCCGAATCTGTGTTCCAATCTGCTCAAAAATGATTTTGAAGGGAGTTACGAGGTTGCGGCGCTTTGAACGCGACATCGCGTTTATTTCGGAAATTTTAAAGGCGGCACCGATGGTACGGCACCGATGTATGACGTGCATTATCGCTTTTTATGAATTTAAGTGAATCTTGGCGTGGGGTTATTCGACACGCTGAGAAAAAAATTGAATTTGCATGGCAGGGCTTTTGTAAGGTTACGGTAATTTTACGGCATGGGGTTTCGTCCTAAACACGAAAAGCGCTTCGATTTAATAGACAGATACGGCATTCGTCTTCACGGTCAAATTATCCCATTACCCAAATTTTAGGTGAATGTCAAGGTTCTGATTTCTTAGTCATTGACAGCTTCTCTCAGCAGCTTTGCGTACAGCAAGATCAACTTCACAGAAACGCCAAATCTCCAATATCTCTGAATCCATTTACTTTTTGTTGTGGGAACCAAGTCAACATCTGGCATCGATTTTAGGGCATTTGTGATCGTTGCGCTGCACCTGGTCTAGATTGCGAACGACTTCATTTTTGCTTATAATCCCTAACATCCTCGAGTTTCTCCAGTTTTTTGAAAATGTGATGTTTCCTATTTTTTTATCGAAAAGCTAGAGGTTTTTCTTAGTTTGTAGCTTACAGCCTATCCTTCATAATGCTAAGAAAGAGTGCGTCAAGATTATAGAGCGAAAAATTACGGAATCAATTGCAATTCTAGTCAACTAGCTAATTTTAGCATTATGAAGGATTATGGTCCGAAAGTTCGTTCGTACCTTTTCAAAGAATTATAGCTCCTTTGCCTTGCAACTTGAATGTACTTTTATTTGAAAGCAGACAACATGCGTTTTACACATGTGCCTTTGATTTGAAATAGCATGCGAAAATGCGAGAGTCACGAGCAGTTGGAAAAAAACCAAATTCGAAAATTCTAAAGGCAACTTTGTCCAAAAAAGGAATTTGCGCATTGCAATAGTGTCTTTGCATGGATCAAAGTGACAAAAAGCGAGAGTTAGAAGCAAGCATAGGGAATCACTCGAGTTTGGCAATTTTTATGCAAACTTTGAAAAAACTGAAAACATCGCACTGGAAAATGAAACAGTCACAAACACGGTTTTATGCCTCCTCCTTCTAGCTAAGTGAATTCGTGCTGATTGAGAGCAGAATGTTATTGGAAGAAAACCACTTCCCTCAAAAACATTCCTTCAAAACATTGGGAACATTCGTTTGGCACGTAATCTGCAGCTAGAAAGAGGAAATCATAGAACATATGCTCAGATTTGTTTCGTAATTTCTGTTTTTTTTTTCAAGATTTGGGTGAGCTTGCTTATATATCGAAATTTGCGCTATACCTCTTCCTACATTTTTAACTCTAAGACCCTCAATTCGAAAGTTTATGCCGTTCTTCTCCTACATATCCTCGAATCACCTCAGTAAAGGTTGACAAACGCTCTAAACAGTGGATACGTAATTTCTCCTACTTTCTGGCAATGTTGTTCCTGTTCCAAGTCCTTTGATGGTAGCTTGAGTAGTCTGAATCTCCAAACCATTGCTTTCAACTATCTAAGATTGATTTCTTCTCAAAATTTTCTCCCCAGCTTTTAGAAGAGCTATGATAACTATTGGGAGTTAACAAAGTGCAAAACAATACATTTTTTGGCATCTACAGTCGGCTTTCAAAAATATAATTCCTTTGACTCTACCAAATTCCATATTTGGGTATTCCAAACCTCAAAAAATCGAATGGCGAGCACTAGGATGACTTAACATGCAGCTGTTTTTCCTCTTGCTGGCAGTCCTCCTCTTTTTTCCCTGTCGTTAAATCTTTAAAGTGTCTCACTAAAGTTGAGGTCGCGCGGATCTTCATATATCTTATTACACGGGCCCCTAAATAGGCCATTGCAACCGGTGCTTTTGCGAACTTTGTGCGATTTTAAGCCCATACATTGCTAGACAGGGTCCGACAGGCTTGCAAAATGCAAAAAACTCGGCAAGTAAATTTTGGTGAGAAACTGCCTTTAAAAATTTTATGGTTTCACAAAAATGAACGCCGTCAAAATTACTACGAAAAATACTGAAGTTAGTAGGAGATGACCAAATAACTTATTATATTGCTTGATTATTGCATACGACTGTTATCAATCTTGAATATTTGCAAAGAAAATTCCGAAACTAGCTATTAGGGTAGGGTAAAAACCATGATTTGGAGATTCAGACAATTAGTCGAACGATCATCAAAGGTCTTGGAGGAAAAAACATATTTGCTATAGAGGGGAAGATTCTGCATCTAAATACTGTTTAAGGCGTTTGTCTATTCGTCATCTTGAATTTGAGGAATAAAATTTCGGACCGGCCTAATATGTTAAGTTATCAAGAAAATGCCGCTGCTTTTTATTTGCTTGCTTTGGCAGCGCAACCATGAAGCTTAAAAACGCGCAAAGGGTGTTAGGAGAGTATTTAGCTCACGTTAGTTCGAAACCAGAACCTCAGAAGGTCTAAATAAGGTCTCCGATAATAAAAAAAACTGAAGATTTTCCGAGGAATCCTAGAGTTATCCTAACATGCTCACGCACAAAATTCTTCATCAGACATTTCTGTATACGTCGCTGTATTTTTCCCTTAAGAAACTAAGAAAGCAATTTATATTTGAAAACGTTCTTAAAGTTCCGTTTTGCAAAAAAATGTTTGCTTAACCAACCTGCGTTCGAACAGTTGGGGTAAGAGAAACCAGGAGAGTGTGCAGAACTTCTGTAAGTTCCACATTTTCATACGGATTTGCTGAAATGAAGGACAAACCTGGAGATTTGTTTGTTGCTGTTCGGGTCTACGAAGCCTATGGCCAATGGAAATAGTGCGAAGAGAAGAAGATACATTGAAGGCTTTCTAAACGCTTTAATTTACTACTTTACCTTTATCCACTTGTAAGCAATACGTAAAGAAGTTCTCCTTGGGCAAATGAGGAAGTCTTTGCAAATATAAATACTCTTATGATCAGAGCTTAGCATTCGATGACATTGTAATGAAAGTTTTATCTTCCCAGACAATTCTAGCAATGTTATCAGCCTTCGTTCCATCTTAAAAGCTTTATCATATTCAATCTTTTGTTAGCTTCTTGCGTCTCCAAAGCAGCTGCCGCTAGATTACTTTAACAATGCTGAAGCTTATCAGTACGCTAGCTAAAGTTCCGCATTCGAGGCAATGCGAAACCACTCACACAACAGAAAGCTTCATCTAATTAATTAATCATTCTTAGATTTCTTTTTGACTTGAAAGGCTTTTGCGACTTTTCAGCCTATTAGATTTTTAATGGCTCGACTGCACTTAAAATGGTGCAGATCTTAGCAAGGCTCGGCACAGGTGGCTTGATAAACAAGCTAAATATCGGTTTTGGGACAAAAAGCAAAGGGGGTTTCGTTATTGTGTCCAAAAAGACACAAAATTTGTGACGTTTTTTGGTCAAATTTTCGTTTTTTGGAGATTTTTTAGGGTAATGGCTCAGGGTCAATCTTCGTAAAATTTTGGGAAAGGAGACTTCGTTTTTTGCATTATCCAAAAGCCACCTTGTGCCGAGCCATAGATCTTATTGTTAGAAGACGTTCTGTAGAAAGTTGTCAATGAGTCTAGTTAACAAATATCGATCTTTACATTTTGAAGACCCTTAGCTGGAGTAGCTCAACTCAACCTTGCCCTTTTACTCTACCAAAAGACTCCCTGTTTTGCACTCAAATAGAAAATAGCGAGACAAACTCTTCCAATCGTAAACTTTTAATTGCATAAATTGTCTCTTATCAATTGTCAAAAATACCATCACACTCAATCCATTTAGGAAGATACTACAAATTTGCCGCTTCTGCTGTGCATTGAGGTACTACCTAAGCTGCAGGGCTTGATTTCCAAATCTGACAAAAAGCACAGCTGTTCCCATAATTCTAAAGCTTCTTAAGAGGGCGCTTCCGTTTAGCCATGCAGATTTGGAATCAACTTCCTCTAACAGCCTACGTTTTGACATGAATGCCTTCCTCGGAGGCATAGAAGTTAGTTTCATCATTACTTTTGAGAAAGACTGCAACGCCCGGCGCATATCAGTGCGGTTCTCTTCAAAAATTTCGTCATAACTTCCTGCAGGGCAATTTTTTGATCTAAGAAAACTAATACTGAGTTTGATAAAATGCTTTTATACAGTAGTACCACGGCCTGTGATGTAGAAGATATACGCTAGGTAGCCATTTTCACGAAATTCTCAGATTCTTGCTCAGATGGATATTATAATGTAATGACAACAACATCTCCATTGCTGGTAGATACAACGTAAGGATACCATGAAGAATATAGTCTATTTAGTCCCTTAGCACATATCTTGGTTATTCGATGCTTTGACTGCATTGACTACTTTCTTATGCTGCTGTATTTAGATACAAAAATGTTTGAGGACCCTCTACTTTTATGATGTGAAGCCTTGCTTTACGCCTATGCAGGCAAGTGAGAATGTAAAATGACGCAGAAAAATGAGCAGAAGTCTCTTTGAAAAACGACATTTTGAATGCTTACGATTTGATAAGAGTGCTATTTCACATGCATATAAATGACAGGAACTGTTCGGCCTACTTTTTTCGCAAGATTTAAGAGATAAACGTTCTTCTGTTACTTTGCTCTTTGTATGTTCTACGAGACTAGTTATCTAACGTCATAGGAATGTGTTTATAAGGTCGGCGGATAAATTTTCATTTTTTTATATTCAAAAAACCTAAGAAATTTTCGATGTTCTTTGTGTATTTTACAAGACTAGTTATCTAACATCATGGGAATGTTATATATAAAGCTGAATGTCTGTTTGTCTGTCTGTCTGTCTGTCTGTATGTGTGTACGTATGATCCGAATAGAAAATTTCATTTCTGAACCGATCCGGACCAAACTTGGCACGCATACACTTCGGGCCCCGGCGGGTGTCATAGGCTACTTTTCGTCATCGATAAAATCGACATCGATCGATAACGAAAAGTGGACTGTGACACCCGCCGCGGCCCGAAGTGTATGTGTGCCAAGTTTGGTCCGGATCGGTTCAGAAATGGAATTTTTACTCGGAACATACGACGGAGCCGGGTAAGCCAGCTAGTGATTTTATGAAGTCGGCGGATAATTTCTGTTACATTTTTCTTTTTTATTTTTCAAAAACCTAAGAAATTTTTGGAACTTCTTATGTTTGAGGAGTGTTGACGGAGTGCGAAGGTCTAGCCGCCGGCACTGTCACGTGATCCAAGCGCAAGATACCCAGTTTATTGATGAAAGTGCGTTCTGTGGACATTTTTGTCTACAAGCTGGGGTCCTTTCAGGTAATCAGGGAGTTTTTCGGGCAGTGTGGTGACAGGGTGCGCCATGCCAGCGCACATTCGCACTTTAACACAATTTCTAGAATTTTAGAAAAATTATTTCCAACCTCTCCTTTTCAGCTCCTACACGACGAACGCAAAAAAATTTTCGAGGTGATATGTTTTTACCCTTCATGTTTGGGATGCTAGCGGCACCAAAGCATCATAAAAAAGGCAGTGAGAAAACATGTTGAAAAAATTAGGAGAGAAAACACAGTTAGACGCAGAGAAAAATCAAGGATGTATATGTGAGGCATCGCTCATGCTGTCATGCCCTGTCGTGCCCCTATATATAAAGCAAGTTTTCAAAACTGTAGAGAGCTTTTCACACTTTTCAAGAATTTTTCAAAAAAAGTGGAAATTATCCGCCAGCTCATCAATTGACTACCGAATCGTTACCGAATGTAAATGGCGAATAAAAACAATGACGATCTGAGGTTGTGGCTTCTACGTTTTGGTTTCCCCAACAGGTAGCAGGTGATCGTGAAGGTTTGCCGTTGCTTTCCAAGTTTCATTGTGCAAAAAAAAACTCCAATATCGTTTTTTTTGAATAATGAACACTACGCCAATTTGTATTGTGTGTTTGTCAGCCACTTGGAACAATTTACTTTGCCACAGTATCAATATAGGTTATCAAGGTCATACTGGCCATCCAAGATTGCCATGACGTTCGATGGCATGTAATCTTGTAAAACACATGGAGGACTGAGTGATAGAGGAGTACTAATCTTTTAAAATTTGCAGAAAAAGCTAAGCCATTAATTCCTGTCGTTTCTAAGAATGTAACTCTTGTCACACAATCATTTTTTCACGATAATCTGTTCTTCCTTCTCAAAATGTGCAAAAACCTTTGCCCATTGATAGCAGTGCTATTGGATGTTCACATAACGACGTACAAGCAAACGGAAAGGATTTCACAAATAGCGATGCGGAAAGATTCATCAACTCGTGTACATAATCTCGATCTTGAGCAAAATTACAATCTATGTGCGCAAAGCTTTTCAAAAAACTTGGCAGAACTTTGTGATAGTACTAGTACGTAATTTTGCCAGCTTACTCGTGAGAATTTTTGGTTACGCATGTCGGAAGAAAGGTTTGCAGGTTCTCTACCTGATGTGTAGCCGGTTTACATTAATCTTACTATGATCTCTTTATTATGCAAGTCATATACAAAGAGAAAAGGGGAAGCATAGGTTGGCTATCCTGAGCAAACTTTCATCGTGACCGGACCAGTTGTAAGGAATTAGCTGCATTCTGACGTGCTCAGTTTTTTGAAAAATATGAGAAAACAGCTGACTTGAACGATGATCCACTAAAATGTAAATCTGGATTCTACACTACCGACCTCATTTAGCTTAATAGCTTTCGTTTCTTTCGGAGTAGTTACCACTGCACGATTCAATGTTCAGCTGTTCAAACTCTCTTGAAAGTTTACCGTGTACAGTGAGAAAGAGATCCAAGCCATTGTACGACAATGAGTCTCCTTAAAGGCAGTGTTCACACAAAATCTATTGGTGGACACTGCCTCAAGTGATATATAGGTGAGCAGGCCTAAAAATGACACCTGCGTTGGCCTGGTCCCCCAACGTTGCTTCAAAAAGAAGAAAATGGACATGTTCTCTGAAGAATCCTTGTTTCGCCCCTCCTTTTCCCGTTCCTTCCATCCACGACAGCTTCCTGATGCATTTCGGAGGCCAGCACATCGCCCCTCCCTCCTCTTTTTCTCCGTTCCGCCCATCTACGACAGCTTCATAACGCATTCTGAGTAGTTAGTTTAAGCTTTCTGAGTTCTGAGTTTTTTTTCTGAGTAGTTAGTTTTTTGCCAAGGTGGTCATTTGAAGCTCTGGACTGTGGAAGTCTTTTTCTGCCACATGAACGATTTGAAAAAAACACAACAGAGAATCTTTACGGACTATCACTTACTTGTTGGTTATATAACACGCTGCTCAATCACGTTGGTAAGCTTGCCATCACATTTTCCTTCAGTAACGACCTTTTCCTTTCAATACTTTATACCCAAGTATAGACAGTGATATAGTGTTGGATGACATTTAGTATCATAAAGCACACAAGGAACGAAGTAACAGAAAATAGTAATCTTCTAAATCTTGCAAAAAAGCTAAGCCAATTAATCTTTGCCTTTCTAAAGACAGCAACTCTATATGACAGCTACTCCTGTCATATAACCACTTACTTCTTACATAATGATCATTGCTCCCCAAAATGTGCAAAATTTTTGCCCATTGATAAGCAGTGGTACTGGAAGATCGCCTAACAACGTAGAAGCAAACGGAAAGAATTTGACAGATAGCGATGCGTAAATACGTTTCAACTCGTTTACATACCTTCATAACTGAGCAAAATAACAAATCATCTGCGCAAAGCTTTTCAAAAACTTGCGATGAATTGTATACGTCGTGATTTTGCTACATTTTCAAAAAAGCTTCGGACTTTTGTGAATCTTTCGCTACGCACAAAGAAAGAAAGGTTTGCAGGTTCCTTACCGCTGTCTAGGGTGG